ACTGCAGATTTGCTGAGCATTTTGGTAATACTGTGCCAACATAGTATTTTTAATCTTCCAATGTAATTTATTGCTCTTCCTGTAATAATGTAATACAATTTAATTTAATTTAGATTTGAAGATTCATTTAGATGATTCATTCAGTCATGCAGGGTTGACATTCAGTAGTTTGGTAACTTCTGTAGATTCATCATTGGCTATTTATGTCTGCTTGTGCAGGAGTGCTTTGAATTAGTGATGATGATGATGATGATGATAATAACACTTGTTTCAGCTAAATGCAATCATTTGGTAATATAGTATCGAATTTCCCTGAGCTTCCCAGTCTGTGTATGCAGCACGCTGGTGGCTTATTCGCTGCAGCTGGGAGTTGGAATTATAGGGGCCCCTGAGAGGAGGCCCACCCAGGGCCAGCTCCCACCTCTTTGAAAGCCCACCTCCCTCCCCATGTGTCAGGAAGGCTGAGTGTTTCTCTCAAGATCCTTTACCTCCCCATGAACCAGCAAAGTCTGCGTCAGTGCTTTTAATTGATCAACAGACATAACAAAACAAAGAATCAACTATCCCTTTGGCCATTAAGGATGATGCCTGTAAGAGCAGCTGTTCCACTGGGATCATGTGGTGTAGTGAAGGATACCATAAATGTGAGTACATTTCCTTATAATTTGTAGTAAGTTAACATAACAATGATTTGGCAACTATTTTGCAAAGTAATTAATCAGTTCTCTAATGCCTTTTCTCAGTTTCATATACTAATTGAATATCTTTCGGTTTTGACTGTTGGTCGGACAAAGCAAGCAATCCGAAGACGACACCTCAGGTTGTTTGATATTATTTGACAGTCTGATATTAACACTATTCGTAACATTACAGGATATTTTCACCTGTTTACAAAGCAAATAATCAATGAACCCAGAAAACGATTGGCAGATTAATCAATAATGAAAAGAATTGCTAGTTGCAGTCCTACATACAGTAAAACTATGTAAGAGAGAGATTGAGCACAGAAAGATGGTGCTAGACCATGTGGTGCTTCAAACGCAATGAGTTAATCCTGAAGTTCACTGGAAGCCGATGCAGGAAGTCTAAAATGGGGATTCTCTCTCTTTTGTTTGATCCAGTCATCAGTCTGGCTGCAGGGTTTTGTACAACCTGAAGGCGTGAACATGTTTTATTGTTAAAGCAGGTAATAGAGTGAATTCTTCAAAACAGGCACATGATTAACTCTCTGCAAGTCAGAGAATAATAGAAATCATCTAATATTTGATAAAAAAACAGGTTTATTATTAACATATTATTATTTCCTGGTTTTGCAGTTGATGCAATAGTTCAAGGCAATAACCAATCTTCTTTTAGTTGGCATGATGTTACAATGCCTGGTAGCTCAGAGGGACTAATACATGTATACACTACTGTATGCAGCATGATCTGCTAGCATCAGCTCACTTGTTTGCCACCAAATATTTTTGTTGTCAAGTGGGCAAGTCATCTTTCTTCTCACACACTCCTGTCCAGTCTGAGGGCATGTGGTCATTGTATTTGTCTAATTTCAAACATCTCCTTTGGGGCTCTAAAAAGTTCTTTCTTTTAAATCCTTATCAAGAAGGTTAGGAGGACTGATGCGATTCTTTGATGGCTGTAAAGACGGAAGTCTAAATGGGGTAACATAGAAATCGGATGCTATCTTTATAATAGAAAATACATGCTCTGACAGACTGCTTGGGCTGAGAAAAACTAACTGTACATATCCTTGAAAGATACAATCTTAAAGAAAGTAGATGGATGGTAGAAGGGAAAGATGACAGGCCTTTACACACAGTACTAATGGCAAATTAAATTCCCTCTCACGGAGAATATTTGGCAGGGCAAGTGCTGTCTCTCCACTTTGAGGGGTAAAATGCATCCCTTGTTGGAGAATGAATTGTGATGTGGAGAGGCATGCTTTTGGTGACATCAAATGACACTGGAAGGTCAGTGGCACTTGTGTCTGTTAAATGGATTGGATTAAGTGGAGGCTGCCTCCTAGTCTGCTGCTTCCTTTCATAACGCAGCTTTTCTTTCTTGGAGGTGGCAAGCATGTGAGGCTCTGTTCTACTCCACAGTTTCACATAGCGCCGTGAGTGGTGACAGGTGCAAGAAAATGTCTCGTGGCATTAAGGGAATTGAAAAGACATTTACTTTACACACTCAGGTTTTTTTTTTCTGTCACTGCTCTTTGTTTAGTAGGTTTGAGCTAGTGCTTGCTACACTGCTATTAAAGATGTTTTCCAGAGGCTGTTTTGGTGGAAGACATCAAACTTGTGTTTCTTCCCGGCAATGGCTTCAAGAAAGACGCATCAGTTGAATGTGCATACTGGTTTCCCAGCAGACATTAGGCATTCCTCCATTGGGACATCTGTCTTATAGGCAGAAGGGCTGAAGGACCAGGACGCATGCATGAAGATGTGAGAGTCAGACTCACTGCAAACAATGTTGTCACTTTGATGATGCTGAGCAGAGTTTTAAACAAAGTGTGCATCCAATAGAGGGGGTGAGAAGCATGCAGTAAATCCAGGATAGGTTAAGCTTTGGCCTTTTCAAAACCTGATGAAAAACACACACGTGTTAAGGAGTGTGTGTTGGGGGCGGTGGTCTCAACCAATTAGGAGTAGTTCTCAGGAGGTGGAGGAACGACCTTTTTGTACAATTAGTTCTCTTATTTAAAGCAAAGATTTTGAGTAGAATAACTAATTAGGTGTCATAAAAGGCAAATTAAAGCATTTTGTGATCCCCGAGAGACTTGCAGCAACTCCTTTCTTTGTCTTTTCACAAGCTCTGCAGAACACACACATACACACATTTTCTCTCTCCTCATTAAGACTGTTTTTAGTCCTGTAGAAGTCTGTCAGGCATACCTGCAGAGAGCTCCCCTAACAAGCCATGAAATGCAGGTATAGAAGAGTCCACCCTTAACCAGTGTGGCTTGAATTTGAAGCTTTTTAGCTTCATTTACACTGAACATTGGTATTTATAGCAGGTTTTTTGATCCTAATGCTCCAGCTTCAAGGGGTCTGTCTTGGAGAGGGAGGGAGGTGAGGGAGCTGGAGGGCAGGTAGAACACTAATTGATGGCTCCCATCACCGGCACCGGACCAATTAGCCTCTGCTTTCCACTTCTGATAAAGAAATAAGACAGCTAAACGCCACCAGAGCACTTACTGACATATAAACCAAAGCCATACTTTTGAATAACAAGCTCTCCTATTTCTTTCACCTCTTTTTTTAAAAGGGGGAAATTCTAATTATATTACATTCATAGCATTATTGATGTGTGGATGGCCAAAAATTGCAGAGCAAATCTGGATCCAATAAGGTACTTTGTGAGTCCATTTAGGGGTGTGTGTGTGTGCGTGTGTGTGTGTGTGTGTGTGTGTGTGTGTGTATGTGTGTGTGTGTGTGTGTGTGTGAGAGAGAGAGAGAGAGACCGATAGAGAAAGAGAGATACGGAAAGAGAGCAAAAATATGTTTTCCTATTCCAAAGAAGTCTTCTAAAAAGTGGTATACGGTTTTTGTGAAAGAGAACCAACTTGACAGGTTCAGCAGACAAAAACAGTGTCCGAGAGTGAAGCAGTGCCTTGTTACCAGCTGAGGTTGTATTTATCACTGAGCAAACCACAGAAGTTACTGTAAAATGGCAGCTCTCTCTAAAGAATGACCCCTATTCATACTAAACAACACTGTCGCAATTGTGCATACTTTCCTGCAAATGAAATGAAAACAACTTGTAGCTGGCCTCGACAAAATCTACCCGTGCACATCTCTAAAGTGCAACAGTAAAACATTGACATTTTATATAAAACTCAGTATAACATGTCTTTAAAAGTGGCCTTTATAGATACCCACACAAAATGCTGGCCTAACCCCCTGTGATGCAGAGTGTCTGGTCTTTTTTCTTTTTTTAGAGAGAGAGAGAGAAAGAGAGAGAGAAATGTGTTTTGAAAGTAGAGTGGCAAGTGGCGTCCACTGTGTGTTCTTTTAGATGGATCAATAGCTCAGTGTGTGAGAGAGTGTCTTAAGAGCTGTTGTCTTGTGCTTTCAGCTGTGGCAGACCTGTTAGTGCTACAGAGGGGAGCTGCGCGCCCCTGCCTCTGTACCAGCAGTGGCCTGAGGGGGGCTTTTAGTCCAAACACAAATGTCAACCACACATAGACTATTAGTGTTTAGTGCTGTTATTAAATGGACTTTATTTGTCCTTTAGGAGGCTAAAAGGCGGGCTTAAAGGGGACCTGCGTGACAGCAGGGCAATTTGCGAGTTTGGTAACTTAGGCTCGCTCGTTGCAGACACATGAGTACAGATAAGTGTAAAAGGAGGTAAGGCTGTAATGCTCTGAGTAGGGGACATTGTGTGTGTGTGTTTGTGGTTTTTGTGTGCATGTGTGTGTGTGTGTGTGTATGAAACACCGAGAGTGAGTGTATGCTAAAAGGCACTTAGGCCATAACATATCTCACTGGGGTCTGGTAGCAACGTTTTTGTGGTCAGAGGCTTTTTAAAAGGTAAATGTTAATCTATACCAAACAAAGCCCATGAGGAGCTTTTACAGCTGTAGACAGTTGAGTGAAATGGTCTTTGATGAAATGGCAGGTAACTAACGTACTACACAGCTCCCTGTAAATACCACAGTAAGCTAAATAAACATTGTGTCTTTTCAGAAATACACAAGACATGCCCCTTCCTCAGAAAGCTGCTGCAAGTGATCATGTAACTTTTGTATTACAACATGTTCTTGGTAGAAGGAGTAAGTCAGGGCTTTGTAGTCCAATGTGACCTGTGCGCCTATCTACATGGAAGAATGTTTTCCTCAATGCATATGAAGCAGGTAGTCCGTGTGCTGTGGCCACGCGCAAAGGCCAGGCTTAGACGCCTTCGAGAAGCAGCCAGCTTATCAAAAAGAGAACATGAAAAGTCACTCGTGTTCCTGGGCCGTAAATCACTCATGGCTGCTTGTCTCCTTATCACTACAGGTGTGCCGATGCTCTCCGTCCAGCCCAAAGGAAAACAGAAGGGGTGTGCTGGCTGCAATCGCAAGATTAAAGACCGCTACCTGCTCAAGGCCCTGGACAAATACTGGCATGAGGACTGTCTCAAATGTGCCTGCTGCGACTGCCGCCTGGGGGAGGTGGGCTCCACCCTCTATACGAAAGCCAACCTCATCCTCTGTCGCAGGGACTACCTGAGGCAAGCAAGACACACAATCACCTCTCTCCACCCACAACAAACACAAATGCCATGCCATTCCAAGAGCTCTGTGACATGAAAGAATCACAAAGGTTGTTTTTTTTGCCTCCTGGTACCGTTTGCTTTGGTTTCTCAGCATGTGTTTCCTGTGGCTTCCATTCACTGAAACACAGCTAAAATCTAAATCATGCAAAGATTCCTCAGGGGATGCTCCAACACAAAGATATTCCACTGGCAGAAAAAAAGAAAAAACATCTGGGCCATTTTAGGAGCTGTGCGACTCCTTTAAAAAGAAAAAAACTAAATTCTGTACAAAATTCTTGTGCAACCATCAAAGGACGAGTCGTGCTGTCATGATATTTCTGTATCACTGCATCCAGAATAAAAAATGCATAGTCACAGTTTGAATATAAAGTAAGCAGTGGGTTACACTTGGTTGACATTTACAAAAGCTTGTTCTCGTAGCATACCGTACTTAACATTTAATATCTGGCAATATCTGTTCTTGATGAATTTTGAAGACATTAGGAGCTACTGTGGAAAGGTGGATCAATTTACCTCCTCAACAACATTTACAAAAATAATAGAATAACTAATCTAATTTTATAACAATTGCATTATACATTAAAACCCAGTCAAACAGTCTCACTGCTACTGACAATATATGTCCATTAAGATAAGTAAAGTTCAAACCCCCACATGTTTGTTTTTACTGTTTTTCATATTTTTATCATAATTATTTCATCAACACAGAATGACTCATGAAGTAGACTTGCTGGCTCTTGTACCAGAGCTGTAGGTTGTGAGAATCCTCCAGGCTTGTTGCTTCATCAGTGTCATTGGCTCTGTATACCCCCTTCAGATGCCCCTGCCATCTGCTTGTTAAATTAAACATGACCATTTCCTGGGCGTTAAGTCACATTCCCAATGAGATCCTACCATTTATCTGTGAGGGAATCCCCCAGGGGCCGACTTAGGGATGCCGGTGCCCTAGCCCCCCCCCTTTAAAACTCCCTGTCCTGCGCTGCCCTCCCCCTTTCCCCTTTCCCCTTCTCTTTCTGCCTACTTGTCTCCTTACTCCCTCACTGATACCTCCAGCTTATTGCTACCCACAAGGTTTGTATCAGTTCCATTATTCTAATTTAGAAACATTCAAAACAGCAGCTATCATCTTGTATCATTTCTAAAATCCAAACCAAAGTGAACCTTAATCAACTTGGTTTTCTCCCTACCTCACTCATGGATCTCCATGACATTTTACTTACATCTCAGCTTCTCCTCTGACCTGGACGAAGCCCGCAGCCCACTTGAGAGGTGCTTAGGGACGTAACGTTGAGATAGGCCATTAGCATCCATCAGTTCCCACCTACACTTAATGCTTTTAAGATGCAGTGAGAGGTCCACTAAGACCTGATGTTGCCCCCAGAAGGGGCAGATGGTGCAGATGAGGTAATAATAAATGGCAAATGACCAAGAGAAGGTAAAAATGATGAAGCTCAGAGTTTCACTTGGTAGAATACATCTGCTGAAAGGACAGCAGCCCCAACCCCCGAGCTATAAGTGCCTAACTGGCGCTGTGTAGGGAGAAGGAAAAGCTTTCTCACACATTAGACCGGCAAGCTGTGGAGGTCAGAGACGGGATGAAAAACTGAGAACGACATGTGAAATCAAGAGTTAGGAATACTAAAATAAGAATAAAAAGGAAAGATGAGGAGAGAGCTTTCTGTGCTCCTCTGTTGCCCCGGATCACCTAATGAAATCCATCCCACTCGCCTGCTCTTCAGCCTGCGACAAATGCAGAGTACTTAATGGCTAGAGATGCTTGAGATGAATTCTATTATGGAACAAATTAAAAACCTTGCCTTGCGTACGAGAACAGGCAGTTTGAGAGACCAGAGTATTTGAAAGTAGGCGATGCAGTCTTCATCCGGCACTAGTTTCCTTTTCATTCCTTCTTTTCTGTATAGTAAGACGAAGGCTCCACTCACCTGCTGTAATGAAGTTAAATCTGTGCACTGAATTAGCCTCCTGCACTTCATTAAAGACAAGCGGGTGGATCAAACACACTTTGGTTATTTCCCTGAGTTTGGATCCTCGCCATGCTCACATTAATTATTATAGGAGCTCCATCTGTGATTGTCCTTCAGTGGCATTAGCAACTTATTGAATGCACTCACGCTTTCCTGAACCTTACACTTCAACGCACACAAACCCTAAAATACACACGTACCTTAAACAGCGTCCTCCCCTGCCCTCCAAACCACTGCACCAACAAAAACTTCAGTTTCTTTCACTTCCCGGTATCAAGAGAGTCTTTTTTTTATCAACTCGGCCACACTCTTTCATTATAAATGAGAATAATAGATTAATTAGGCGTTTCCTTTATGTCTAGGGCCCAGGATCGCTCGACTTCACCAGAGGGTTGACAATCTAGTCATGGTGTGATCATCAGGACTTGAAGCCTGAAATCATTTAATCCTCTATTTCATATATTAGAGAGGACATAATAGTCATCCACTTATCAAAATGGGGTATAATTAACTGTAAGAGGAAAACGTTTTCAAGATAATGAACATTATAAGTTATCCATAAACCGGTGAAATAGCAGGGAGAAGATGATAGCTCCATCTGGATGTGACTGTTTTTCTAATCTGTGCTCTCCTTACTACTATAGTAGGTAAAACAATTGCTCTCCTCCCTTAACAGTTGCTCTTCCTCTCTGAGCAAGATAGATTTGAACCCGAAAGGTTTACACTTTCAAAAAGACGCAACTGTTGGGGAAGGTCAGAACATGCGATGCATGCATTAACAGATTTCTCTTTTATGAAATCTGACTAACTCTGTGCAAGCTGTGAAGTCTCAAAGAGCTCAGAGAAGAGGTAGAAAACTTTAAGAGCCACAGCCCAATCTGAGGGAAGCAATACAGAAAGGCAGATGATGCACTGTAGGAGCTTTAAGGGTTTGAAGTTGGCAAAGCAGCAAGTTGAAAGAACTTAAGAAGGCCCTCTTTTCTCTGAAGAGTGATTGTAATGACTCAATAACAGAAGCTTCTTTACATTCTTGCCATCCAACTCTGCTCCCAACAACCCACACCAGCACACAAAGATACATTTTTAGCTACTGAAGAGTTTTGCAGTTCCACTGTGTTGAAGATTGCAGGAGGCAGGGATTAGGCAGCGATACATGTTGGCGTATAATGCATGTAAGAGCTGACATGAGAAGTCATATTGATTATTTACGGACCTTAGAATGGGCTATTCAAAATTAATATTTTTTTATTTGGTTGGTAAGAACTTCAAACTAAAAATAAAATGCAATTATTAAATTACACAACAAGACACTATGCATATAATTAGATATAAGCTACAACAATGATTACTATGGATCCCATTATTAAAGCCTGTCATCTGAGAGAGGGACTTTATAATTCAATATTTGAATGTATTATTAATTATTTAAATCACATTATTTTAAACAGCTGTTATTATGATAATCAAAATCATTTCACAAGCAAAATAATTCTGAGGTTTAGCTTCTCAAATATGAGAATTTATAGTTTACTTATGTCAAGTGTGATAGTGAACTGAATATCGTGGACTGTTATCGTGTCCGATAAGGCAAGAGAATAGAAGTTGTCACCGGGGCTCTGTGATATTTTTCACGATACTACTAATGTCACCATGTTGCAGCCCTACTGTTATGTACTACAAAAGGGCTTATACAATATCTGAACAAAGATGATGACTTTTAGAAGTTCCTAAAAATAAATAGCCAGCCTACTTTCACTTTCCTTTCCAGAATGTCTCACAAGTTGTGGGGAGCAATCCAAATCAGCACTTCTGACCCTCTAACCATTTGAAATAAACCACAGAAGTGTCTACTTTTAAAGAGGACTTGTTTTGCTTCAAACTGTTGACTATCGACAAAACTCGATGGGCTCAGTGTATTATGAGCAGCACTGAACAATACTCTCATATTTTCCAGAAACTCAGCATTCACGCTCTTGTATGAATATAAATCCTGAAATATTTTTTTTTCCCACTTTCCTTTTGAGAATATTGATTTATTTAATCCAAATGACCAAAGAAATGGAAGTGCATGAGCCACTGCACTCCTACAATACAGGACATGTGTCAGAACAATACATGGTAATTCTGCAGAAAATAGTCTATTCAAACAAAATAAAATCTATTGTAAATGAAATGAATGAATGTTTTTCAAAGGTAATCCATGATTTATGAAGGCACTGTTTCAGTGCTGAGAAGCATATCATGTTTTTAAGTGTATATTGTACTGTACATACTGTGTATGGTTTGTATAGATGACACCATCTCTATAGATGTTTTAATTACAGTATCGTCCATTCTTCAGCACAAGATGACCCGGTCTGACCTGTTCATTTGTTGGCTCCCACTTTGCTTTCAACGGCTTGAATCTACCTAATTGTGTGTATCTATTTTACTTTGCATTCTGGCATCTGACAGCAAATCCCTCGACCTTTACATTTTCATCTCAATCGTGTTTCGGTGTGAAACATTCATTGCTTGCTATACGCAGCACCATTTCAGCTGTTACTCATGAGACTGCTGCAGTAGTGGTTCAACTCCGGTTGCTTTTGGCTTCATAGGAGCACAACGAGAAGAGTGTAATGTGTTTGAACAGTTCTCTCAGGCTGTAATCTCCTCTTACCACAAAGAGTCCAATTAAGCCATATGTTGATACTACGCTATAACCCAGAAACATCAATTGCTGGCTGAAGAACTCTGTGAGTGGGAAACTTTCTTACACTCCAACTCTTAACGTTATGGTGAAGATGTAAGCTCTGCCAAATTTCTGCCTGTGATAGTAAATCACAAAACAGATAAGGAAGTTGTGTTAGCATGGAAGAGGTTTATCTCTTCTTGATTTGAAGACTACCAGGGTGACTCAGAGGAACCGATGTCAGTTTAGAGAATATGCCACAGTCCTGTTGCTTTATCTTTACTGCGCATCCACCTAAAAGGTGCGAGGCCTTTCTGTGCTATTAGCAGAATACTTTTGTCTCACTAATCAAAAGAACTACAGACTATCTTCTACAGATGTCAGCCTAACAAAACAAAGACATTTTTTTGTTGCAGTTGGAAGTTATTTTACAGTTCAATGATGGTTCATTGAAGTTCACATTCAAGTTTGATGAACACAAACCGCAATAGTTGTCAACTACTCACTTGTGTTAGAGTGATAAGATATTTTGTTCATTAATAATAGCCTTATTTCTTCTTCATCTGTGTTTCAAATGATCAGGTTTTAGTCATATACAAGCCTATATTTGATACACGTTCGTTTTCCACCACAAACTTCCTTGTGGCTCAGGAAAATCCCATCTGTGCTGTGTTTGTGCTTCGTTATGGGGTAAACTACTTAGCGTGATGATTTCATCACCGTTCAAAGTGGGTGTGGATTTTTTTTTAAATATGGGTATTTACCAGCAAAGGGGGGGGGGGGGGGGCTCTTTGTTATAAATTTGTAGTCTCTATTCCCAAACTGAAAACAGATAACCTATAGTGACATCATCAGGGTTATTTTCTCAGACTCCACAAAGCCTCTACATTTGGTAGATTGTCCCTTTAATATGCCATGACATTTTTTGACGACAAAAACAAGGGAGGGTATGCAACTAGTCACTTCTGTTTATTCCTGCTGAAAGCCTTTAGTATATTTGCAGTCATTTTTCTTGAGGGAAAAATATTATTTCTTAATATTATTAAGTAGTAATGTTTGTATTCTGACAGCTTTTTAAACATTTTCAGTTTTGCAAGTCAATCAAAATAACCTGTATTTTTGCTAGACTAGTAAAAGTTAAAATGCAACATACCTACAGTAGCTGGGGTTGCATATGTGAACAGCAAACAATCCTTTTGTTTCATGATAAATGGGAAGAGAGGTTATAGGCTACACACAGGATTTGGATCACTGGTTTGTAGAGAATATAAATATACATGTAGCTGAAAGGTAAAAACTAGCCTCAGGAGTCACACACTACTTTGACTGAAGGTAGAAGTGTCACCAGCAAGCTGGGCTTCCCCACCAGGTGTTTTCACAACCTGTATGTATCAAGTCAGCACCATGTCCGCAGCCCAGCGGGGTGTATAAGAGAAGGGTTAGAATAATCCTACGAGCTTTTACAGGGGTGTGCATGTCAGACTCTGTAAGTGGCCGAGGCTTTCTGGGCTCTTTTATAGCCTCGGTTCCCTGAGGGAGAGAAAAAGACATCACCGTGTGACCCTTCGGTCCAGTATAAAGCTCAGGTGTGGTGTAAACCTGGAGCAGACCCTCCTGACTGTCATGATGACACAGGAGGTGTGAGATAGTGGGTTATATCTAACGGGAATAACTAAGAAATCAAGGCTGCCAGGAAAACCTACATACGGTAATGGAAACCAGGAGCACTGTAGCACTGCTATTTGGCCAATTCTTGGATCAATACTGAATGTGTTTGAATCTTTGTGCAGAGTGCCCCATAGATGGCAGATGTCTACTGGATGAGAACAGGCAGTGTTTTACTGAAACAGTAACCAGTTGTAACAATGTCTCTGTTTAACACCGTGTGAATCCCTCTCATGGAACATAACAGCCTTTCTCCCTCTGTTTCTGTCTCTCCTGCTCCTCTGGGGCAGTGGCCCCTAATTAGAAGCAGGGCTGCTGGATAGACGTTTTCTTTAACAAGGTGAAAGCAACTGAATGGGACTAGCATAAACAAGGCAGAATATCAACACTGTGACTCCTCTGTCTGAGCCCTACAAGTTTGGGGAAAAAGTGTTTAACATACTGTTGGAATGGCAATCTGCTGTTGCCTTATCCCCTCTTGCAAAGCTGCGAAACGGTTCCTCTCCTCCTGCAGAATATATAAATCTATCTGTGCTTCAGAATCTCCAAATTAAACATGGGGGCAGGCGCTTGGAAACTGAAAATGTAAATCAGAACTGGGAAAAGCACTTGAGGTTCCTTTGCTTTGAGGAGAAAAGAGATCTACACCAGTGCCTCCCTTGCTCTGTTTGTGACCTTTATCATGTGGCTCCTATAAGCCTAAACAAGCCGTAGCGAGGTTTGAGCATTGAGTCTGTTCACAGTGAAACATTTAGTTAACTCTTCAAGGTTACATCTCCCATCACTGTCTCAGGCTCCGCTCTGAATGAAAGAGGGAGATGGTGAAAGAGATTGAGACCAAATCCTTGTAAGAGAAATCTTTTCAACTTATGACTACATTATAGAACGTAGCCTCTTGTGCAAAAATCCAGCTGGCTTTGGTTGGAGAAAGGCCTCATTAGGTATTTTAGTTATGAAAGAACACAACTTTCAATGATTTAAATGGTTTGCTTCAGACTTGTTTTCATGCTTTTTGTAATGTGCAAGGGAGGAGGGGGGGGGGGGGGGGGGGGGGGGGGGGGGGTTCTTTGAAGAAGGAGATTAAAACCATGTGATTGTTTTAATTAGATCATTAGCCAAGAATTAAGATCTATGTTTGTAACTCTCATTAACAAAAATACCAAGTGGGTGCCAAGAAAGATTTGTGCATTACATTCGACGTATTACGATTTTGCCCTCTTCTCCCTTTCTTTGCAGCATTTTTCTTCTATTGTTCTTGCTGTCAGTACATTTTTGTTTACTCCCTTATTGCATCAAGGTAAAGGGAAGGTGGGTTAATCGCCGTCTGTGCTCTCTGTCTTTCAGGCTCTTTGGTACAACGGGGAACTGTGCAGCCTGCAGTAAACTGATCCCAGCTTTTGAAATGGTGATGAGAGCCAGAGATAATGTTTACCATTTGGACTGTTTTGCCTGTCAGCTTTGTAACCAGAGGTAAGAATGGGGATCATAACTGCACAACAACATCACCTTTAAAAAATTAATTTAAAAAAACATTAATGGAGTGTTAAAATGGCCAAAGCTTTTTGTCCTATTATATATTTACAGACCACCTGACAAGTCTAGGGAAAAAACTTGGATTGCTTCCTGTGTTGTAAAAATAAAGGTTGCTGTATTGCATTTGTAATGCCCTGCTAATTATATCCCATTGTGACACACTGCCAGCAGTTTGTACTTGTTTATGGCTAAATCTGTAAATCTTTTTAGCCAGAGGGACGCAAAATTAGCTGTTGTTCTTTTGCGAGGATGTATCTGAGCTACAAAAATAATGTCGTCCAGAGGTGTGTCGCTGTATTAGGGAGCATGGCTCTATACATGTGTGAATTGGTTATTCCTTGGCGATATGATCTATTATGAAATTGGAGTGAGCACAAAGCCCATGGTGTGATACACATAGAATATGACATACCCAAATATTGCTTTTTCCCATTAATATACTGTCAGTAATGGCACCACTCTGGAAGCAGAGAGTCCTTTGCATGCTTGTCAGGGGTTCTGTGACCCTGTTCCTCCACACAGCACAAGCCCATTAACCTTCTGCAGGCCAGATTCAGTTACCATAGTGAACACCTGCTATATGGGAATTATGACTGCAGTCTCTCTTCTCAGCTGGCAGACATGAAGCCAGGTCTCATCTGGCATCGTATTGCCATGGCCATGACCGTTTTACCAGCCTGGCTCATTACTGAAGCTAAGCTAGGCTCGGCTATATTCTTATCTTCACTCCCCTTCAGTCACATTATGGAGCCGTCTCCACTGTGTCACACAAACAAACAGCGGCACAGAGGAGAACGTCAGTAGGGCAGGCTGCTCTGTGTTATTTTTCCTCCTCAATTGACTCTGAGACTTCAGAGGAAAAATATTCTCGAGCACTGGAACCAAACTGGTGTGTGAAAAAGCTAACCCTATGGCAGAGGAAAGCTTGGAAACTCCCGCGGTGCCAACGCCATTTTGCCAGGCCAGGGAGAGCTGACCTGTCTTTTATCGGGTGCCAGTGCTCGTGTCTGCTTTCTTTGAAATGATAGGGTTATAATCCACTTTAATGTGAAGCCTTACATTTATGATGACCATCAAAACGGGCTTAGAATCTGACGAGGCACAGTGCGTCAGGCAAAACATCCCGAACCAAATGTGTGCGAACAAACAGAAGCATCATTACCTGCTGATCTTAAATGCAGCATTTTCTGTGCCAGAGCAGAGTCAGTCAGCCAGTCAACACACACACACAAACACCACTTTGTCATAATGCCAACAGTAATCATGTTTGTGTTTTTAACAACAGTTGTGCCTTTGTTTGTTTTTCTCTGCCAACAGGTTTTGCGTGGGGGACAAGTTTTTCCTAAAAAACAACATGATTTTGTGTCAAATGGACTATGAGGAGGGCCAGCTGAATGGAAGCTTTGAGACACAGGTTCAATAGTTGGAACCTCATGGCAGCAACAATCGGCTCCACACTTTACACACCAGATGGATGTTCTGCTGCACTTGGAAAAAGACAAGCGTATGTCTGCTTGCCTGCAATACTTTTTAAGACCCCTTTATCAGTCCCTAAGGACTCTATTGTAAATGTTCAACTTTTCGCCCCTCCCACACCCCAACACTGAGCAGTTACAAATTTTGATGTACAGTTGTGCCTGCTTAGCTGAGCACTGTATTGCTTGTATGTTTTGTGAAATTTGTTTCCGGTTGGTTTCATTTTCCTTTTAGAAATGGTTCATTGGAGGGTATGTACAGTCTGTTTTCTCTGTATATATAAACTGGAACATTTATTTTATGAAATGTAATGCAATTTTATTACTAGTGTGAATTAAAGATTCTTAAATGTTCATAGTGAGTTTTTTCTCTTGTACCAAAAACCAAAGTTGTCGGAGGAAGTCGGCCCATGTGTTGATATGTAATCATGTCTCCAAAAACGGCAATGCTAAAAAAGAAAAAAAGCTTTGAGAGAGAAAGATTTATTTGAAGTATTTCTTCAAAACATGATGCAACAAAACAAGTTTTATTACATTTTACAGAGTTCTGATAGGATTAGAAATGCTGTTTAAAATGAACTACATAAGATTTTATTTGGAATAAAAGAATGCTTCTCCAAACTGTGTTGTTGTGAGCGTGCAGGTGTCATGAAAGCGAGTGAGTTAAGCTGAGCGGCTCTCCGTGATTCATGCTTCATTAATTGTCATCTGATTATCGGGGTGAATTGGCCAGGAAATGAAATGCAACAGCAAATAAATTAGAGAGAAAATAAATGCTCATTGAGTTTGAGCTCATTCAAACTCGTCTGTATTAAAACAGTACTGTTCCCAGAAGACTCTTGTTACTGGATCTGTGTGACACTGTCTGTTTAATTGATGTGGTTATTTATGATACACACACCAAAAGCTATACCAAGTCTTCTGGAGCTGTCAGATATTTAGCTGATCGTTGAAGTGATAATTAATTTCAATGACTTTGCTAATTACGTGTAGTTGTATGAATTAACCCCCTCAACTCTAAACTTTTTAAAAAAATGATACTGGGTAAGGGAACTTTGAAAATGATTTTCTGCAAATAAAACAATGTAGGTGATGAACAGTCACATATATATATTGATTAGTCGGCTCAATGCGTACCTGTAATTTCCTCCAGAAATATCACACTCTTACAGATCTGATTACCTTAAAAATCCTAAAAACATGCAAGAAAGGTTTATGACTGCAGGGTGACACAAGTGTGCTGCATTCTTTATAAGACCCCTTTCGATTTTAGTTATTCTGCTCATAAATTACACTGTAGTTTATTTTCGCTTTGGGCAACAAGAAGCCAAGCCAAGTATACAATTAGTTATTAATAGGGATGAAACTAACAGTTATTTATTTCACTATTGATCAATCTCCTGATTACGTGTTAGATTCATCGATTAATTGTTTAGTGACCAAAATGTGAAAAAGTGTGCCTCACAATTTGTCAGAGCACAAGCTGAAGTCTTTAAATTGCTTGTCTTGTCTGACCAACAATCCAAAACCTAAAGATGTTAATTTCACAATGAGGTAAAACACAGAAAAGAAGAAAATCGTAATATGGAATAGTGGGAACTACTGAATGTTTGTCAACTGTTTGAAAATATAAATGTTCTGTTGATCAGCTACACAATTAATCAACTGATTGTTTCACCTTCAGCTTATTAAATTTAGCATTTTTTAGAGCCACTTTGGGTCAATTCGAATTAATTCGGCCACACTAAAATCGTTATACTGCCAGGTTCCTTACATGGTGAAACAATGGCAGCTAATTACTGATAACAAACATCATTCTTTTATAGGGAGAGAAAAGAACCTAAGCAGAAAGCAAACGGCTTGGAAAAATGAACAGCTGCTAGATCACAACATCCATTCTATTTAAGTTCAAGTTCAGTAACAGGTAATAAGCCACACATCAGTCTGGACGGAGGTCTATAGCCTTTACGTTTGACCGTGAAATCCAAATCACTATTACATCACTATTATTTAATCAATGTGATGTTGTAAAGTAACTGGAAAACTGTATGATACAATATACCTATGAACAGTGTTTGTAATGCTGTAAAGATCAAATCACTGGTGGGGGTTCATACCAAAACACAGGTTCTACATCATGCCCACATGTATAAATGCTCAATAAATACTACAGACTAACTTGGAATGTATAGCATACTGAATTTGGCTCAGCTCAGGGGTATGAAAAAGGCCTTCAACAATTAAAAAACAATCAAACCTCCACTATTATTTATCATTACTCGACATAGTATTCTTCCGTTATGGTGAAAGTGGGCAAACTTCAGATTTCAACCCATTTGTGATATTCTGTAGACTCTTTTCTACTAGCAGGACACAGAACAGCAATATTATTTGCTAACACATAAATCAAATGTGCAAAAAACATTAATTAGAAATTCATTAAAAATTGAGACTCACCGGCAGGTGTGCAAATAAAGGATTAGGTAGACATCAATTATACTACATAAGAGAGCATTTTAATTGCAATTCCTGGATTGATTTACTGAGGGAAACAATCAGGCTCCGTGCAATGTGGCTGACTGCTCATTTTCCGGGAAAATAATGATGAAAACACCTCACCAGGTAACACTGTCCGCAGCTGTAAATCCATACACACATATACAGATTCAGAGGCGTGCATGTAGGCTTATATACCTACATGCCAAAAAAACACATTTTTAATACTAACCATATAACACATGCATATGAAGAATAAGGTAGAAACAAAGAGATGTGCACACACAGAATTACAAAACATGACACACACACAGGGATCCTCACACACATACACATGCACTGCAGCTTGTCATTCCCATCTGCTTGTGTTAGTGGAGAAGTTCTTAAGCGCCAAATGTTGTGCTGTTATGACTCAAGTTTGTGAATTCTCCAACCTCCTCTGTGTTCCTGATTACCGCATTATGGCATCTGCTTAATTAGCTTGGCTTGTGTCATATGTTGCACACGAGGGGGTGTTAAAAAGTGCCCTTCCCTCTTGCTCATTATCTGCCTCGATTCATGTGATGTATAATCTCTCTTGACAGACATTCATATTGACATAGGGACAGCTGTCAGCAGAGCATGGTCATAAAGGGTGCACATAGAATAAAAACCTCAAGGAAGGCAGATAAGTGGAAAGGATGCCAAATTTCTAAGTGAAAATACTGATTCTGTGTTTCTTACTGGATCCATCAACACTGCAACAGTTCTAATTATACTGAATTTAATTTTATGGATGAGTTTTTTGGGAGAAGGGACTGATAGTAGGCCGTGCATTTTGATTACTACAGGTAATATAGCTACCTCCTGCCGGTGTATTTTCTAAATTGGACTGGTGTACAACTCTTGGCGAGAAATCAACCTCATTATTGCCATGTGGGAAATTCAAATCATTATCTGCACAACAGCTCTGGACAATCATTTCCAACCCACAATACGTTACTTTGTTGACGGGACAGAGTTTGTAGATTAGAAATGTTCCTTCTTTACAAGTAAAGTATATCACGTTCTATTTATGTTGAAATCAGATCAATCAACTGCATGCAATTGTCCACCAGCTTCCACCTTCTCTTCCTCTCTCTGTCTCATACACACACTCACACACACACACACACACACACACACACACTGCTTCCCTGCCCTTAGTCCAAAACGCAAAAGTAAAAAAAATAAAAAGATAGATGTAATGATTGATGTAATTTACAAAAATGTTTTTATCGGAAAAATATTGTGCTTCAATCGATCCTTGTTGGCATTTAACATTTCAAAGACAACATTTTCACTACGGTAACAGTAATGTAACAGCACCATAAATTACATTTATACAACCACAATAAGACAAAATCAGACATATGCTAGCATGTTGTTTTTGTGATACACTAACGCAGTGATAAAAAGAAAGAGAGAGACCGAATGTAGCACAAAAATTCATAACAGGCGTTGCAATTGAATAACTCTCAGCAAGCGGGGCCTGGGGCCAACTGGGGCATGTTCTCCCCATATCAGTGTGGGTTCTCTTTGGGTTCTCCGGCTTCCTCCCACACTCCAAAGACATGCACTTTAGGTTAATTGATGACTCTAAATTGCCGGTAGGTGTACCGTGCATTCACCCAATGCCAGCTGGGATCGGCTCTCTATGCATGAAAGTTATACTTATCACATGGACATGTGATGGAGACCTTCCTTTGAGAGGGCAGATGACCGCCTAACACTTTTGTAAAAGTTTTCGTAAAATGCTAAGTGATTTAAATTGGGCTTGTATTGTGAAAGGTAAATACAAAATGAGTGTAAATGTAATGCGCTGCCATTGATAATGTGGTCACTGACACTCTGCTAAAAAACTCAAGACCTGCAAATTTGTCCAGACATATTTCCTAGGATACTGGCTGCACAGCAATATAAAGGACCCAGACCCCTTCATTTTCAGCAAATAGGGATAAAAAAAATCAAATCGACTGAATTCATCCTTTGGGGACCATGAATGTCTGTACAACATTTCAAAGCAAAGTGATCCATCTAATAGTTGTTGAGATATTTCAGCCTATGTGAATATATTTGTCCTTGAGGATTATTTGTCCTTTGCCACTGAATAGAAAACAACTACGGGAATGTAATTGCTTCAGGACAGTATTGGATATATTGCCATTATGAAGTTGGTATACATGGGATTAGGCCTTTTACCGTTTCAAAATATAAAAAAGCAGCTGGTCAGCCACAAAATAAGTAATGATGATGCCAATGAGGTTGTTTGATTTTTTCTGTTGTGCCCGATGTTTTTTTTATACCACAATTTGAATGGATAATCTATATTCCCTACTCGTGAACCATTATTGTCCTTCAAACAAACAGCTGTGGCCATGACGGAGACAAAGCTACAGCATGTATTTTAAAATGTGCAGAACACAGTCATCTCAAACAAACGAAAATGTGAGCAGAGATGCTCACTGTGGTCAAGTGACTATTATTGTCCTTGAAAATAAACAGATTTCGACACACACTGAAAAACTCCGACATATGTTCCATTGATGCCTAATGGGTCTGCTTGTGCTATGAGCAAGAAACTGGAGAGGGCAATTAGTTGCATGTGGCTTTGATTAGCACTGATTCCACAACAGTGCTGGAAGGCATATAGAAAATAAAACACAGAATTACTGCTGATGCTCTCTCTGACAGAATGCAATGAAATGGAAGAAACTATTAGACTTAATGGTAATAATAGGTAAATATAAACACGTTAACCAAGCATGGTGCCCGCGGCTAAGATTGTGCATATTGTACCTACAAACAGCCTGTTCCATGGCAATGCATATAAAACTGAAATAAATGGCTACAGATGCATGAACTTGCCCTAAAAGGGGTTTGCTTACTCTGTGATCTCATTCTTAAATGAAACCAATTTGCCTAGAAATTGGTTCTAAGGCCTAATGCTGAACTCTGTACATCAGCTCCACCACACACATACACACACACACAGTTAGCTTTTACAAACGCACTTTCACAGTCACACTGCTTCCACCCCTTCCACCCCTTCCCTCGCTGCAAATCATGTTTGACTTTGAAGTGCTAATTTTGGAAGTTTAGCCAATTTTTATTTGCTGCTTTGAAATGTATCCCCTAAGCTGCTGCACCAGCAATGAAATATACAGACCTTTACAATGAGGGATAAGTGACCAAAATGAGAAGCGCCTGGTTTTCTTCCTAACATTATATAACTGTGAATAATCCCCACATAGCATTTTCTCCTGTGCCACCAGTGCCTCAATTTATATTCAAAAATATTATGCAGACTTTTTACTTTTTGCTCATTCCTCAATCCCTACCTTAAACTGGAGCTAATTTAAGATATGTACAATGCAATGCTGCAGACAACAATATGTTCCACGTTATTACTGTGTTTTATCAGTGTTTGTGAACAAAAGCAACATAACTAAAACAAGGAGAGTAAAAGAGTAATCCGAGCAGATAGTTTCACTTTGGCAATGTGTTGTTTGCTAAAAGGATACCTGATACGTTTCTGATAACAGGAACATTGTATCATTGGTATATTTGATATCTAGTGATCCTCTTCAGTAACGTCTGAACCCTGACAACAAACCACAGTTTGAACAAAGACCATGTGGACAGGTGTGGAATATATCAGCTCTATGTAAACATTTAAATTACATGACACTGATGTCTATTGAGCCTTGTCCCTCTCGCATACCAAACCTAAATACTGGAGTAAAAAAAGTCCATGGTAATAAACGTAGCAGCATTTACCACTGTGATAGATGCTAGGATGACCTCAATCACAATCCTTTTTTAACTGCTTTCAGCGGGAGCTAGAGCATTATATAGTAAAATAAGTTGATCAGATTGGCTCCTCACCAAGCAGCCCAGCTAATAACATGGAAAGCAAAGAGCTTGAGGGAGAGAAGATTTGGAATGTGGGCCCCTCCACTTTTCACAGCCCTGCTCTGCTTTAACACAGCCCTGGACTTGCCAATAAATTGCTTTGGTAATCAGCTTTTTGAAAAGCTTATTGACTGCTTGTTTTGTGTTTATTGTAGTTCTCAGAATGAAATACAAAATTGGATTTTATTACATGTGCAATTTTCTCCTCTCGTAAAGAATAGAGAGAGAGAGAGAGAGAGAGAGAGAGAGAGAGAGAGAGAGAGAGAGCGCATCACCTTGTTGAGTGTAGATGATCCGGAGAGAATGTATACTGCATATTATTTTTGATGATCTCTCTTTTTTTGATACAGTCTCCTTATGCTCCTAAAGAGGCACACTATGGGTGGAAATATTTCATGTTTAAAATGTCCCCGAAAAAAATCGGAGGGATCAAATAGTCTGCTACTGTAGCTACACTAGGGTAAATATCTATATGTATTCGTGTGAATCAGTGACAGAGTGAGAGAGGAAAAGGAAAACGTGGAGTAGTTTGTTTTGTATGTAAGCATTAAATGTATCCGTTTTGTATTCTGTTAGCAAGTAACTGCTCATTCACTGTACAACTTGAATAAAAGATGAATTATCCACAACTCTACAAACCATGTGCTCATGCTTGAAGAATCATAGCCCCATCTGTCCTTTTCACAGTTCTATCATCAGCATGCAGCACACTGAGACAATGTGCTTTTGTAGAC